CACTTAAGCTCAGGTTGCTGGAGGGCCAGTACAGCAGTGAGTGTCCTGTTAGTTACTTTGGATAAAAGTGTCTGCTATCTGTGCAATAACTGCTTCCAGAAAAGAGAGGCTTTCAGAGCGCTCTCAGTTTGAAGAGCATCTCCCAACTGTGTGTGTGTGTGTGTGTGTGTGTGTGCGAGAGAGAGAGAGAGAGAGAGTGTGTGTGTGTGTGTGTGTGTGTGTGCGAGAGAGAGAGAGAGAGAGAGTGTGTGTGTGTGTGTGTGTGTGTGTGCGAGAGAGAGAGAGAGAGAGAGTGTGTGTGTGTGTGTGTGTGTGTGTGCGAGAGAGAGAGAGAGAGAGAGTGTGTGTGTGTGTGTGTGTGTGTGTGCGAGAGAGAGAGAGAGAGAGAGTGTGTGTGTGTGTGTGTGTGTGTGTGCGAGAGAGAGAGAGAGAGAGAGTGTGTGTGTGTGTGTGTGTGTGTGTGCGAGAGAGAGAGAGAGAGAGAGTGTGTGTGTGTGTGTGTGTGTGTGTGCGAGAGAGAGAGAGAGAGAGAGTGTGTGTGTGTGTGTGTGTGTGTGTGCGAGAGAGAGAGAGAGAGAGAGTGTGTGTGTGTGTGTGTGTGTGTGTGCGAGAGAGAGAGAGAGAGAGAGTGTGTGTGTGTGTGTGTGTGTGTGTGCGAGAGAGAGAGAGAGAGAGAGTGTGTGTGTGTGTGTGTGTGTGTGTGCGAGAGAGAGAGAGAGAGAGAGTGTGTGTGTGTGTGTGTGTGTGTGTGCGAGAGAGAGAGAGAGAGAGAGTGTGTGTGTGTGTGTGTGTGTGTGTGCGAGAGAGAGAGAGAGAGAGAGTGTGTGTGTGTGTGTGTGTGTGTGTGCGAGAGAGAGAGAGAGAGAGAGTGTGTGTGTGTGTGTGTGTGTGTGTGCGAGAGAGAGAGAGAGAGAGAGTGTGTGTGTGTGTGTGTGTGTGTGTGCGAGAGAGAGAGAGAGAGAGAGTGTGTGTGTGTGTGTGTGTGTGTGTGCGAGAGAGAGAGAGAGAGAGAGTGTGTGTGTGTGTGTGTGTGTGTGTGCGAGAGAGAGAGAGAGAGAGAGTGTGTGTGTGTGTGTGTGTGTGTGTGCGAGAGAGAGAGAGAGAGAGAGTGTGTGTGTGTGTGTGTGTGTGTGTGCGAGAGAGAGAGAGAGAGAGAGTGTGTGTGTGTGTGTGTGTGTGTGTGCGAGAGAGAGAGAGAGAGAGAGTGTGTGTGTGTGTGTGTGTGTGTGTGCGAGAGAGAGAGAGAGAGAGAGTGTGTGTGTGTGTGTGTGTGTGTGTGCGAGAGAGAGAGAGAGAGAGAGTGTGTGTGTGTGTGTGTGTGTGTGTGCGAGAGAGAGAGAGAGAGAGAGTGTGTGTGTGTGTGTGTGTGTGTGTGCGAGAGAGAGAGAGAGAGAGAGTGTGTGTGTGTGTGTGTGTGTGTGTGCGAGAGAGAGAGAGAGAGAGAGTGTGTGTGTGTGTGTGTGTGTGTGTGCGAGAGAGAGAGAGAGAGAGAGTGTGTGTGTGTGTGTGTGTGTGTGTGCGAGAGAGAGAGAGAGAGAGAGTGTGTGTGTGTGTGTGTGTGTGTGTGCGAGAGAGAGAGAGAGAGAGAGTGTGTGTGTGTGTGTGTGTGTGTGTGCGAGAGAGAGAGAGAGAGAGAGTGTGTGTGTGTGTGTGTGTGTGTGTGCGAGAGAGAGAGAGAGAGAGAGTGTGTGTGTGTGTGTGTGTGTGTGTGCGAGAGAGAGAGAGAGAGAGAGTGTGTGTGTGTGTGTGTGTGTGTGTGCGAGAGAGAGAGAGAGAGAGAGTGTGTGTGTGTGTGTGTGTGTGTGTGCGAGAGAGAGAGAGAGAGAGAGTGTGTGTGTGAGAGAGAGAGAGTGTGTGTGTGTGTGTGTGTGTTAGTCGATGAGGATGCATCCGTCAACAAACAAAGAAAAGGTCAAACATGAAAATGTCAGGTTTATTTCTTTTACCCTGTGTCTCTCGGTCTCTCTCTCTCTCTTGGGTTTGTGGGTAGGTCTGGTTAAATTAGAGCATGCCGAACGACAGCTCTGGGGAGTCTTTATGATCGAGAAGCAATTATTTAACTTTATTAACGAGAAAAGCTTTTTTATTGTCTCGTTTAATAGGTCAGACTGCCAGATGAGGGAGTTTTAGTGTGTGTGTGGGGGGCTCGAGGTTGAATTGATCACAGTTGAATATTTCATTAAGAACTGTAACAGATGAAGAGCAGAAATGAGACTTCTCGAGCGCAGACACATGCTGCATGCTGAAGGGGTCAGTCTAGTGGTTCTGTGTGTGCATGTCATGTCAATGAGGTAATCGCTTTTTTTGTTGTTTTTAACACATACACACATTACCTAAACTATAATCTCAATGTTAGACAGCACACCAGTTGATCAGCGAAGGTTTGTTCACCGACAGTTTGATGCAAATTGCAGTTGTATATTACAATAACCACAAAATGGCAAGCTCAGATCTGATTCAACTGAAAAAAAAGTGTCCTATTTACCTCATACAAGGCAAAATCTTCTGAGGGAGATTTAGTGACTGCATTTTCCAAAGTTTGTGAGGTCCAAGTTTTCTTTCTTTTTTTTTCACTTACAGTTTGTTGTTTGGGACATTTAATTTTGTTTAGAGACTTTTTCAAACATTTATTTAAAAAATAAAATTTATAATTTTTTTTTATTATTTTGTTTTTAGTTTTGTTCACTGACAGTTTTGTTGTTTCAGACGTTCTTTTTTTATTTTTTTGTCGTTTAGTTTTGTTCACTGACAGTTTTGGTGTTTCAGATGTTCTTTTTTTTATTTAGTTTTTTTTGTCGTTTAGTTTTGTTCACTGACAGTTTTGTTGTTTCAGACGTTCTTTTTTTATTTAGTTTTTTTTGTCGTTTAGTTTTGTTCACTGACAGTTTTGTTGTTTCAGACGTTCTTTTTTTATTTTGTTTTTTGTCGTTTAGTTTTGTTGACAGTTTTGTTGTTTCAGACGTTCTTTTTTTATTTAGTTTTTT